TTGCATGCACAAATGGCCGAAGAAGCCATGCAGATTACCTATACATCGATCCCCAAGGGATCCTCGGCAAAAGCCAAAGGTACATCTGCACTCTCAAGTGCCGCATCGTCGTCAGCGCCCAAGGCAATGCCACCAGTGCCTAACAAGGCAAACATGTCACCTCCACCTAAGAGTCCTCCGCCAAAGGCGAAAGGAACAGTACCTTCAGATCCTCCGAGACCAAAAGGTCCTACCAGAAGAGGAGGTCAAAATCGGCGCATTCAACGAAAGGCAGCCAGAGAAGCCCACAACAGTGGACTCTGCACCTATGCAGACGCTGCACTTAACGAAGCCAATCAAGGCCAGGCAATTAACATTACGTGCCGAAACATGGCAGCAAGACACGTCAGCTCTATCGATGCAACGGTAGAAGCAGCCGATCAGTTTACACAACGCGTGCTACAGCACGTAGAAACATATGATGAAGAGGAACCGTGGAGCACGGAGTTTCTACCAGTCGTGGAAGTCCTATTCAGGAACTTAAGCGGCGACGAAACAACTGTCATACATGACAATCAAACGGTAACTATGCCTCTTACGAAATACACAGACCTCCTCAGAATCGCACAATCATTGCGAAGCTCTATCCAGAGAGACAAGGAGGAAAGGAAGGAACATCTTGACACCATCCAAGATACTCTATCCAGAGTGGAAATCCTTCTAACAGCACTGAAGGACTCAAGGACAGTCTTTAACCAATTGGTCCATTCCTCACTAGAGATAGAGCGAAGAAATAACAATCTCAAAAATGTCCTCGAGACACTCTTTGACGACCAAAGCTCTGAGGAAGACCAGTCAGAATCTGACAATGAAGAAGTCCTAACTCCTTCTGCAGCACAGTACTGGAATAGCCTTTATGCCCACGCCTTATCTCCTTCAGGAGATGAAAGTGAAAGATCATGGGCGTCCTCAGACGGACAGCTTGAAAGAAGAAGGGCTGAACGGGCAAAGGCTAAGCAGCCACAACCGGCTAAAGCCAAGGCAACTCCAGTCAGCTCACAAGCTGCGCCAAAGGCCGAGCCAAAGGCGACAACATCCAACCATGGATATGATACTGCAGACGCCGCCTTCACCAGGGCTGAGAACAGACTACTCGGAATTTATTCAAGTTCCGAAGAAGATCACTCAGACCCGGATGAGCCACATCCGAACGTCTACGCTCGAGCCTATGATCCAAACCTGGATCCAAATCTGAGATAAGGAAAATCTCGGAGTTTCACAACAGTGACTCACAAAGCTCTAACAAGAGCAAAGTGAAGGGCTGCATAATTCGATGTAGAAAATATCACCAGACATGATCTTGTACAGACGATCTCTCTGACCAACATGCATGAGTGTGTGCAAAAGGAGTGTCCTCAGCAGTGTACTTCAGTGCTATACCTAGCTTAAATAATATGCTGTTTTCATCATGAGTCCAGACTCCGCAACTGTGACAGTGGGCATAATAGTATATGTGTGAATGTGCGGCCATGCTTCCGGTAAAAGAAAATTAGTGTCTGTTTGAAACCATAAACCTCTAAAGGGGTAGCTCTAACAGGTACCTACAGCAATGGCTGCATGCTCATACATATACATTCCGCTGCCCATTGGCTCACAGTGGTTTTACCATATTGAGACAAGACAAGCTCTCCTTGCGTAGCAAGACAAAACAACTACTGTCCGTGTGCAGGGCGCTGCCCTTTGATCCTTAGGGAATAACTGGTCATACACCTCCTAACAAGGAGTATTCCTTGTGGGTGTATTGGCACAGGGGGGGGGGAGGGGGAGGGAGGGGGAGGGGAGGAAAATTGGTGGGACTGCATCCAAAATCCGTTGGAGGGGGCGAGAAATTTTTAAGGGGGGGGGGGGGGGGGCAGTGGGCCCCGATTCTGGGGGTGGGGTCACTGGGGACGGGATTAATAAGAGGTGGGGAATAGAGGAAATCCGAATAGGAACCTCTGACCGCTTCCGCCGAGACCGAGGCGAATTTTGAAAACCACCCATGCATGCGTGGCTGCAGGTAGGCGCAGGAAGGTAGGCAGGTAAACACTCCAGGTGTAGGGCTGAGGCCACATCATGATTTTCATTTCTTTTAATTTAATCATTCAGAGATTCCCTACATTAATCATCCTCAACCCATGTTTCAAACTTGTGCAGTGCATTAGTATGATTCGTAACTTTGAGCCGAAGTCCCAAACCCTCCACCCTAGACTCCAACATGTCAGATTCCGTGGCAAGCCTAAACCCAGATGCCCTTTGCCCAAATAGCGTCCACCCTTATAAGAACCTAAACCCTGAACCCGACACTCTACCTATCTGCCTACCTACCTGCCTACCTACCTGCCTACCTACCTGCCTACCTACCTGCCTACCTACCTGCCTACCTACCTACCTATATGTACAAATATATATGGGCGCACCCCTATTTGGGGTCCCCTACGTTTTTCGCTGCATCATCTGACTGAGCTGTAACCACCAGACTAGGTTATAACCAGCCGAGTAGGTTATAACCAGCCGACAAGGTTATAACCATTCGAATAATTTATAATCAGGTATACATTATCGATATTTCAGTTTTTTCCAACAAGCGTGCTGTAGTCATTAGTCTGGTTCAGTCATTCCTTATCGCGAACTAAATTTTGGAACGAAAAGTTTTCCATCTTTGTACTGTAATGCCGCAATCCCATCAAAGTCTCTGTTGTTGGGCGCATTGCTATGACGTTTTGGCAAACTGATAGCTTTCAATGACATATCCCTGTGCCCCTATGTGATTGCTTGTAGACACTGGTATATCCGGTAGGTATGTTTGAGTGGTGCATTCCTTATTTCTGTATGACGGCTGCCCCAAGCCAAAATTGAAAACTTGCACACTACAAGCTTGGCAAACTTTGTACAGTATTTTTCCTGGGGGACGACATGAAGCGTCGCTTCTTAAGCTTGGCACTGTTTCTATATGCTCAGTGATGAGGCCTGTGCTTTTTGTATCAGCATACCTTAACCATCACGTAAAGCTCACTGAAAACCATAAAGCTACATCTAGCTTGTCCGAATTTCTGTTTGTGTTCTTGTGAATATTTTCTGAAGGTCGAACAGAAGCCATTGTTCCCAATCCAGAACGTGCTCCTCGTTTTAGAAAAAGTGGTGAACACACACCGAATCACTCCTCGAAAGAGGTACATCCATGTAGTTGGAAATAGCATTGCAAGGAATTTTCTACGTGCCGAGCGAGGAAACCTAACAGTTTGCAAGTTGCAAATCGCTCACCACACATATTCTTATCAGTTTCGTCTCATCGAAATCCTGCTTCCTTGGAACGATGTTTGAACATAACGTTGCAACCAGTTCGCCTATGTACGAAGTGATGAAACCTGACCACGCTGTAAGCTTTGATATACTATCTCTCCCTACAATGACGTCGTATCAGTCGTATCTCAACTTTTTGTGTACCGTGATATTCCAATGTTGACAACACTTACTGACCTACTGTAATCCCGATAGAGACCCTTCATCTTCCGCATTTTGATTCCTGGGTCATTGACATGTTAGCGGCTATTCTCTCAATGTGTACATAGATCTCATAAGCCCGATGTACTGGAACGGACAGACCATTATGTAAAGTCCGCCATATAGCCTTTCCGCTAAAGTTGGGGAATGCGCATATGGTCCCCGGAATTATGTTTGTTACAAAGCACTGCATCATGCCTCAACAACCGAATACATGCCAATTACCTCGGACCTTCTTCTAGTCCTTGTTTAGTTTCATTGCGGTTACATTTCCCCTGAAACACCGAAACTTTCGAACGTTTGGATCTAGGTCTAGGTGTTGATGAAGTAGCGTTGGCACAGATTTGCTTCGTAAGGTTTATATTGTGCAACAAACAATCAAGGCACCCCAATTTACAAACCACAACCCTGGTATGTAAGCCCCCCGGTGTTTCGACACAGTTTACCAATATTGCAGGTTCACCATCAAGTGTTGGGTTTGGGTTTTACTGCTTAGGGTTTGGCGCTAGGGTTTGGGGGAGACTTAGACTTAAACCATTATACCGGCTCGCTTGCGCGATACGACACGGAAGACTTAAACCATCAAACCAATAAACCAATCCATTTGATCTATAGGGCACGGCGGGAGTCTTCAAACCCTGAACGTATTTTGCAGCCTGGTTATAACCTCTGTCCCCGGTTATAACCAGGACACCTGCGTAGTAGGCAGCCCTAGACCCATCACTAAACCATTGAACCATTATCCTTTCCCCCAATGGAGCCAAACCAATAAACCATTAAACCAATCCTTTTGCCCCATAGCACTAAACCATTAAACCAATCCCTTTACCCCATACCACCAAACCACTAAACCATTAAACCATTAAACCAATCCTTTCCCCCAATGCACCTAAAACACTAAACCATTAAACCATTAAACCAATCCCTTTACTTCATACCACTAAACCACTAAACCATTAAACCATTAAACCAATCCGTTTGCTCCATACCACTAGACCACTAAACCACTAAACCATTAAACCATTAAACCATTAAACCATTAAACCATTAAACCAATGCTTTCGGCCCATACAGGGATGTGTCTCTCTCTATAGGGGAAAATGATTGGTTTAATGGTTTAATGGTTTAGGTCCATTGGGGGAAATGATTGGTTTAATGGTTTATTGGTTTAATGGTTTAGGTCCATTGGGGGAAATGATTGGTTTAATGGTTTAATGGTTTATTGGTTTGGGTCCACTGGGGGAAAGGATTGGTTTAATGGTTTAATGGTTTAATGGTTTTTTGGTTTAGTGGTATGGAGCAAAAGGAATGGTTTAATGGTTTAATGGTTTAGTGGTTTGGGTGTGCCAAAACCCAGGGGACCCCATATAGGGGGGTACCCATATATATATATATATATATACATACACATATATACATACTGCCATAAACCCTAAACCCTACCTGCAATTCATGGAGCTGGCTCTGATCGAACCCAGGCCGCGCCGTTTCACCCCGGCCGGGAGAGGTCTGGAGCCCGAGCAGGAGACTTCAATGTTCTTAGGAACTATGTTATGTTTCATTATATTGAAACTCCGAGGAGTTATTACATCCGGCATTCTCCTGTGTTACAATAAAACGCTGAGGGGTTCGTAAGAGCTTGCTTTCATCAATCCAAGGTATTAAAATAGATTGTTTGGTGCAGAATCCCATCGGCTATCAAAACTGGTGTTGTTCTCATGGTTCTTAAGGCGTTTGAGGAGATTTTACGATGTGGGTTTCGTGAGAATTTCAGTTGTGGAGGTTGTCGTTGAGGAGCGTCACGCCATTGGGCTTAATGGATTCCTTTGAGCTCCGTAATGCAAATAAGGAAAATCTTCGATTTTCTCCAAGTAGTCAGGTGCTAAGCCCTAAGCCCCAGCCATAAAAGTGTAGCCCCTAAACCCAAACAGACAGTTAAGCAGTGGCTTTGGATGTTGAGTTTTCGGTCGGGGTCTTCTGTGCTCAGTCCTATCAATGGAAGCTGGTACTGCCAAGTTCCGCATGGGTCTCACGGAGTTTTGTTGCTCACGCACACCTTGAAGCCCCAAAGGACTGCAACGCCGTATGAGGCAGAACCCGAATGATCTTCCGTCGCTAAGGGCACGCAGCGGCGCCCGGCAACTGCGGACCAAGTTCAAGCGCAGCCGCCGTGACCTCAGCTCTTCAAGTGCTTGGGACATTCATAGGAGGCCAAAAGGGGTTTTAGCCCATGGGGGTTGAGTAGGGATTAGGGTTCCCATAATAGGGCTCATATTAATTAAGGAATCCCTACCGCAAGAATCTTAAACCCCCCCCGTTTTGGCCTCCCATCAGACTTGGGGTTGGGGTTTGGGGCTGTGCTCCTGGGGCGCCAGCCGTCATAGAATGGATGTGCAAGTATTAATTTCACCAGACATTCTGGGAGAACTACGGGCTTCGAACGTTACTTAAATGGTGTTACCAGGTGAGTCATGGCGTAGCAGACAGAAGACTGGCTCGCAGTAGTAGCAATAGTAGTGAGATGCAGTTCTGCAGCTCCTTCTCTTACCTTTGGTTAGTAGGGAATGGAAGAATGGTAGTAATAGTAGTTGTAATTGTACCCCATTCCTCCATTCCCTACTAGCCAAAGGTAAGTTCTGTGGCATTGTGCGCCTCCTTTTACCCTAGTAGTCGTTCGTGCGCCAGCCGGATCTGCCGGGCAGCCGAATTCACGACAGCATCCAAATCTTTGGCAAGCAGTCTGCTTGGGTTTGTCTTGGTAGTCGTGCTCCCGCCGGAGTTCCGTGCTGATTGTGGCTCTTTAGCCGCTTCAAGTCGGTACATAGGAGGAGAAGCAAGAAGAGCGACGAGGGTGGCCCCTGAACGCTAGCACCCTAAACCATAAACCCCAAAGCCTTAAACCAGACTTAAACCCTACATGATCCCTAAACCCCAAACCCTGAAACCCTAAAGCCCCAAATCCTAAAACCCTCAAACCCTAAAACCCTAAAACCCTAAACCCTAAAACCTTAAAACCCTAAACCCAAACCCTAAAACCCTAAAACCCTAAAACCCTAAACCCAAAAACCTTAAAAGCCCCAAACCCTAAAACCCTAAAAACCCTCAAACCCTACAACCCCCAAACCCCCAAAACCAAACCCAAAACCCTAGAACCCTAAAAACCCCTAAAGCCCCAAAACCCTAAACCCTAAACCCAAACCCTAAAACTCTAAAAAACCCTAAAGCCCCAAAACCACCAAAACCCTAAACCACCCAAAACCCCTAAAACCCTAAAAACCCTAAAACCCCAAAACCCCCTAAACCCTAAACCCTAAAACCCTAGAAACCCTAAAACCCCAAGCCCCCAACAAAAGAAGCCTTCAGAAGGCTCCAGCGAGAGCTCCCGGGCCGAGGTGGGCGGCCCCGCGAGTTCCGGAGTCCTCGCGCTCGGCGCGGGGCCTCGGAGTGGGCAGAAATAATCGTACGGTGGTTTAGGGTTTAGGGTTTAAGGTTTAGGGTTGAACTCGACATTCCAGCTGCTCTGTCGCTCAGGTGATCGTTCAGTCGGCAGAACTAACAGCTGTGCGGGCCTCGCCGACGTTTCTTTCAAGCTTTTGAGGGTAGAGGCCATGGCGGCAGTTCAAGACGTGGTTTATTTAAACTGCGTGGGGCCGAAGGGGCCCATTCCATTGTGCGGCTGGGTGGTCAGTGCGAGTGATAGCGACGTGATTGTTGCAGCTGCTAGTGGCATCTTGAAGGGGGTCCAGCAGGTGGTTCAGGGTAAGCACGGTGATATCAAGATTGACTTCATCAAGGTGCCCTTTGACTCGGTTACCATTAGCTCCCCTTCTACTTGGGAGGGACCAAAGCCTAAGGATCTTCCGTCTTTGGCGGCGTGTCTTGAAGCATGGAAGAAGGTGGCCAAGGACGACTTGCCCAGCAGCGAGGCCGAGCATCCACAGCCTCGCCGTCCCGAACGTCCTCGAGGCAGTCTTCGCTCGGGCATGAAGGGGCTCAGGGGATTGTTCAACGAGGACGACGACGAGGAGGACGAGGACACCGACGACGAGGAGGAGTTCTCGAGACGGAAGGGGTCTTCACGCATGCAGCCTCCCGGGTCGTCGGCAGCCCGAGGGTCTTCGAGCAAGAAAGACGACAGCCAAGGCGTGGGCGCCAAGGACTTAAAGAAGGTGCTCATGCAGGGCCTGGCCGAGGGACAGACGCCGAGCGACCTGGTCCCTCTCATGATGATGAGCATGCTGTTGGACAAAGGACAAGAAGGAGAAGCGGACCAAGCACGGGGGTCGCGACAGCAAGGACCTCAGCCTCTTTGGTGGCTCGGACTCCGAAGATTCGGGAGGCGAAGATGCTTTCCAGGGAAAGGGGATGCGAGCAGTATCAACGTTGCACAAGCTTCACGAGCAGATCAGAAGGCGGCCAAGGAAGATATGCGAGATCTTCGAGCACGAGGTGGTGCAGGAGATGGGAGTGATCAAGGGCCAGGCATGGACATTGAAGGATTATGTGAAGAAGCAGCCCTGGGGAAAGTTCAAGGGGATTTATCGATGTGCTTTGATGGATGTCGAGGTCTACGAGCAACTGCGCAATGGCGAGCCCCAGATTGCCGCGGCGCAGGTCGTGCAGAACTTGAAGGCGAAGCTCCAGAGTGTGCTCCAGGGGGGCGACTGGAGCACAGCTTGGCTCCTCACCGGATTGCCCGACCCTCTCGCGAAGCGAGAGTGGGCGGGCAGCAAGGAGGAAATGGCGATCATTTCCGGATATGTGGACGCTCTCCATCGGCTCAAGAAGCGCGTGAAGGACAATCAGACCGTGGCCGAGGACGACGAAGGAGAAGGCCAAGCCGGCCACTCCCGAAAGTGATGGCCCCTCGCCCTTTGCATGAGAAGGCGGGACAATCGCTTCCGCATCCGGTCCTCACGGGCCCAAATTCAAAGTTTTATGATTATCTTTGTTGGTTTGAGGGTGCCCAGGGTATTTTGCCGGAGCGTGGTGCCGGCGCCAACATTCCACTCTTCCCGTGCACGCTACCCTACCCGGAGGCCATCTTGACTGACGGGGTGAGCCTGGACCTTGAGGGTTGCCGTAGGTGGTTTGCCAAAGCCTTCGTTAACACGTTTGTGGCTTGGGGAAACTTTGTGACTCTTGGGTGCCCGGCGGAAGGGGGCAGTGGATACGAGCCGCGGGTAGCTTATTTGTGCCGGGAAGAGGCCCGGGTCATGGCAGATGAGCTTCTTGGCGAGGTGGATGAATTCGTTTCCGAGGATCTGGCTCTAGGTCGTCTCGAGTGTGATGGCAAGCGTGGTTGTATAGCAGCCCTGCTAGAGAAGATCCGCTGTACAGGTGGTGCATGCTACACTGATCTGCCTTCTCAGGTTTCAGGGAAGACGATTTCAACGGCATTGCCGGTATCTGCTACGAGGGTGGCTATGCCGGGACAGGCGGGGCTCGTGGATCCGGGTGATTGGCTTGAACCACATCGTGCTGAAATTTTTCAAGACTTAGCCCGTCTCCGCAAACCCGAGCATCTGTGGGAGGATATCGCGGTGGCTTGCCATCGGGTACCACCAGAGGAGGAAGATGATTTGGCTCGTAAGTTGATTGCACATGGCATGGCGATCGCTGTTCCAGAGCATGAGCTTCCGCATGACAGTCGAGGGCAGCTACATGTAGGTGGCCTTTTCTGTGTTGCGAAAAACGAGCTAGAGGACCGCTTGATCTATGACAGGAGGCCGGAGAACAGCAAGATGCACAAGCTCGCATGGGCGAGGCTACCGAGTGGCGCATGCTTCACCAGAATGCTGTTGGGGGAAGACGAGTACCTCAGGGGATCGGGGGATGATTTGCGCAACTACTACTACATGTTGGCATTACCTCAGAATTGGGTGAAGTTTAACTCCGTGGGCCGCCGCATGTCCCGCCAGGTGCTCGACGAGCTCGGTTACGACAGCAAGGTGGACCATCGGTTATGTTTCAGGGTTCTGGGGATGGGCGATATCAACGGGTGTGATATAGCTCAGGCGACCCACGAGAGTATATTGCGGCAGCACGGTGTCCTTGATCGTTCAGTGCAACTGGTGTATGGTGAGCCCGTTCCCAAGGGCCCGCTTTGGGAAGGAGCGTATTTAGATGACCTCCTGATCACATTGCGATGCCGAGTTCCTGGGAGGGTTCCTCTAGATGGCACTTTTCATGCTCCGGCTCCGCAGGCAGGGGATGGCGATGTCAAGCAGGTGGCGGCGGCAGAGCATGCATACACGAAGGCTCGGTTGCAGCGCGCAGAGCATAAAGCCTTTAGGTTCAAAACCTCCTTTAAGGCCTGGGGTGCTCACATCGACGGCATCGTTGGCAAGGTCGGAGTGCCCCTCGATGTGGATGTTATTGTCGAAGATCGTGGCAGGAGGCTGGTGCAACAAGGACGTGCTTCGCCGGGTGCTTGGGTTCCTAGCTTACATCTTCCAGTATCGCCGGGAGCTGTATTGCCTACAACACCACATCTACAAGTATGTGCAGGCCATGCCGGATGAGCGGTGGTGCAGGCTTCCGCGACATGTGCTAGATGAACTTCGATCATTTGCCCTGCACCTCCCCTTTGCGTGCTGGGATATGCGTAGGAAGCTCAACTCTACCTTGATTGCAACGGATGCCACCCCAACTTCGGGAGGTTCGGTTGCTTGCAAGATGCCGGCCGAGCTGGCGCAGGAGCTCTGGCGTCAATCGGAAGTTAGAGGTGAAGCTGTGCGTTTGGACCGCGGCATGGGGCCTGATCTGTCTTGGGATGTCCCGAAGGAACCTTCTGTCTTCGCGAGCACCATTGCAGAGAGCATGGACTGGCGGGTCACCGGGTCTTATTCGTTTCGGCAGACTTCTCACGTAAACTTACAAGAGCTTCGGGCCCTCAGGCGGGAAATCATCCGGATGGCACGTGCTCCCGAACACCGCAACTCCATCGTCGTGGCCCTTAACGATTCAAGGGTAGTCTGCGGATGTGTGGCAAAGGGGCGCTCGTCGAGTTATAAACTTAATGGGATGTTGCGAGGCCTCTTACCGCACCTGGTGATGGGCAAGATCACGATCTCTATATTGTGGGTGGAGACCTCAAGCAACTATGCCGACCACCCATCCCGTTTCCGTGATCTACCGCCGCCCAGGTCTCCGCCTCCCTGGCTCCAGCGCTTTGGGGTTAGCACCTCGGCTAGCTTCTCCGGGGTCGAACTTTCGGCCGGGGGAACATCCATTACACGGGCGCATGTTGAGGCTGGGCTGCAAATGGCACAGCCGGTGGACATTGCCTATGGTGTCGAAGCGCTGGGCCCTTGGATCGACCAGTGCATTGAGACGGGGTTGATTGATTGGGTTTGGCTCGCTCCTTCGTTTGCGGTGCAGTCTCGGCTTCAACAAAGTCGTGAAGGTGGGCGGCAAAGCTGGCCCCGACAAGGGGAGAGGAGATACGACCAGGAGGACTCGATTGATTATCTTTGGTGGCGGCTGCTGAACATCGCTTGGAGCATCATGTCTTCAGGAGGCTTCTTCTTCCTGGTGCACCCGCGGAGCAGCAGAGTTTGGAACTTAGCCGAGACTCAGCAGCTCCTTAATCATGAAGCGGTGAAGGCGCATCGCGTTGATTTGTGTGCACATGGGGGAGAGAGCTCGAGTGGCGGGTCACAGGGGACTAGCACCATCCTCAGCAACTCCCCTTGGCTCGGGCAAGTCGTTCGCCAATGCCCTGGCACTCATCGTCATGCTCAGTTATCCCGAAGCGTTCATGCTCAAAATGCCGGTGAACCCTGGGATGCATTTTGCTGCGCGCTAGCGGATGCCGCGGCGCGCTGGGAGATTGCGAAACGCAAACCTCACGCCTGAGTACAGGCGTGGGTTGCGCGAGGCGGCGCGGTGGTTGCTGGATCTCGCGGTATCGCTTGGTGCTCAGCTCTCTTGTGATTCTCCTCCACAAAAGGTTGATCGTTGGCTCGAACGTTGCATTGAACACGCTTATGATCGGGGAGAAAAGTTGTACTATGTGAGGCTGGGGCTCATCGGTCTTCAACGTGCTTGGCATCTTTCGGGTCCACTCCTTCGGGGATCATGGTCGGCGATTAGAGGATGGCGAGCTTTGCAGCCAATTCGGTCGCGGATACCCATGTCGAGATCTATCATGAAAGGCGTCATCCTTACTTTATTGATGATGGGGAATGAAGAGAGCGGTTATCTGAGAGAGATCATGTGGGCGGCAATGTTGGCGGTGTGGCTAAGCTTTGAGGGGCTGTTGAGACCAGGGGAAACAGAGCAGTTGTTGGTGCGCGACCTTTGCTTCCCCGACCTACACGGTGGAGGCAGTGAAGGACTTGTAGTTACCATCAGAAAGCCAAAGACGCGCAGATTGTGGCATACACAATTTGTGTTGATCCGGGATCGTGCTCTTATCAGCTGGCTACAGTGGTGGACTGTGGGGATCAGTGCCAATCGTGTTCTTTTCCGGGTTCCCAGACGCCGGTGGGCCAAAGTCGTTGAGCAAGCTCTAACGTGGTTGTTGTTGGAGGACCGGGGCTTCACGTTGGGAAGCTTAAGAGCTGGAGGGGCTACGTGGCACTTCAAAACACACGAAAACCTTGCACGGCTTCAGTTCTTGGGAAGGTGGTCCAGAGCGGAAACACTCAGGCACTACCTCCACGAAGCGCTCACTGTTCAGGTGGAAACGCAAAGTCGGCCCGAAGCTAAAGCTCAGCTGGAGTTTGTTTTGGAGCATGCACGGTTCCTTGAAGCACCGCCTCCCACATCGCTGTTTCGGTTGCTCAGAAAGGATTGCTAGGATGCCCTACGGTGCAAGAGCAGCAGATGAACGTCACGGGCAGTTCAGTGGCTTACAGAGACGACCTCCTTGACGATGGGTCCAGGGACCGGCAGGGGCGACTTGGCGCAGCCTAGAGGCGACGCTCCCCAGCGGCCGACTCTGCGGCTCTCTCGTGCGTCTTCGGCAAGTGAAAGGCCTGGAGGAGGCCTGAGCTCTTTGGGAAACGGGTCGTCCCTTGAAGCCGATGCCTCAGCGGCAACTATGAAGCCCTTGGAATCGGCTGCTCAAGATATTCTCCGGGTTGTGGAGGATGCAGCTACTCAGATGGGACCTGTTCAAGTAGACGCTGGCCGGACCCCTCAAGAAGTGCTTTCCGACCAAGCTTCAAGAGAGGCGGCGACTCGGTGGCGAGCGGGAAGCGCGCCACGCAGGTTTACAGCTACCCTGGCGCGTCTGGCTACAGCAGTGCAAAGCTGGACTACCTCGGGGCCGAGACCAGAGGCTCCGGGGACGGGTCCTCTTGCACCCGTCCGGCCTCGCCCTCTCCGTGAACCTGCTCACGAGCTCCGCCCAACCGCCGTGGCCATTTGGGGTCACTGGGCGGCGCGCCTTGCGCGAAATCGTATGAGGACTCTGGTGGTTCTTTTCGTCATCTTGATGTTCCCGCGCCTGCTGGCACTGGTTTTGGCCCTCATCATTCGGCTAATGATGCGGGCGGTGGTGGCGTTAACCTCTCACCTTGTCCGTGAACTCGTGCATCAAACTATGACAGCCGCCGCTGAGCTCGAGGATGTGCTCATGGGCTGGCTGAGCTATCAGATGGGGTCGTCGGTACTCCCCCAACCACAACAAGTGGCAAGTCTCCCGACGGGGGACAATCTTCGTGCAGCTGAAGCTTCGCCTACTGCTGCCCACCCGGCCCGCCCATATGATCTCGTCACGTGGGTGCTCTTGGTCCTCAACTTCCTCCAGAACCGCCAACTTCGGGGGGGTGGGGGACCACAAGGTGCTGCCTAGCTCTTCGCCTCTTCGCTGTGAACGTTTCGGCCTACCTTCAGGGGCTCCTCGGTGTGTACCTGCAGGGCGGCTTCACTCAGCTCGTGGCTGGCAGCTCGTTGAAGTTTCTTTTCTTGGAAGCCATTGCCAAAGGCCCTGGCTTAGACTAACTCTTTCAGTCACGGTTGGCACCCGCAACCGGTAAAAAGAGAGGGGTCCGAACGTGTGTGCTCTCAACGGCGGCTTGGCAAAGAGGCAGGCGGGAATGAACTCGACATTCCAGCTGCTCTGTCGCTCAGGTGATCGTTCAGTCGGCAGAACTAACAGCTGTGCGGGCCTCGCCGACGTTTCTTTCAAGCTTTTGCCATCCTCCTCCCCGCCACCGACCACAAGGTGCTGCCTAGCTCTTCGCTGTGAACGTTTCGGCCTACCTTCAGGGGCTCCTCGGTGTGTACCTGCAGGGCGGCTTCACTCAGCTCGTGGCTGGCAGCTCGTTGAAGTTTCTTTTCTTGGAAGCCATTGCCAAAGGCCCTGGCTTAGACTAACTCTTTCAGTCACGGTTGGCACCCGCAACCGGTAAAAAGAGAGGGGTCCGAACGTGTGTGCTCTCAACGGCGGCTTGGCAAAGAGGCAGGCGGGAATTAAGGTTTAGGGTTTAAGGTTTAGGGTTTAGGGTTGAGGGTTTAGGGACTACCAATAAAAAGAAGATTCATAAGAATAGTAATGCAAGTAATCGTAAAAATCGTAATAGTGGGAGCAGAAAAAGTAACTTCAGTCATTCCGGTGTACATATAGTCTTCGTTGTAGTTCCTTTAACTGCCTTACACAGTTTTATCTTTAGGATCCAAGGAGGTATCCCAAAAAAGAATTACACTGGAGACTATAGGCAAGCATCAGAGGGTCCTGTGCCAACGACAAGACGGAGCCGAAAGGTTATGAAGGGCTTTGGGCCTCGGGGAGAGGGTCAGGCCAGCACATAACATAACCTCAACCCTGCAAGACAACACACCTACGGTTGCCCATGCGAAGAGGGACGACTGCAAGAATCAATGCGAGAAGTCCGGTTGTTATGAGGATGATTGGGGTAAGGATCAGTAAGGGCACTCCTAAACCCCTAAACCGCTAAGCCGACTTAACCCCCTGAACCCGTGCATCTCGCCGGATCGTCCGCAGTGACTGCTTCATAATTTCCTAAACTTCTAAACCCAAAGCCCTAAACCCCTAAAGCCCTAAGCTCCTAAACCCTAAACCCCAAAGCTCCTAAACCTTGAACCCTAAACCCACTAAACCCACTAAACCCACTAAATCCCTAAACCCCCAAACCCTCAAATACTGAGAGTGCAGAAGGCGGATGGAGCCGGCTCTTTCTACTCGCAGGACCCACAGAGCCTCGATTTGTTGGGCTTTGGCGCCGTACAGGGTTGAGGGGTTAAGATACTATAAGGGTTCCGTCAAGGGGGTTCTACAAGGGTTTCTTTAAGGCTTCCTTTAAGGCTTCATCTGAAGGGATATAGGAGCCTCAGTGACTAGAGTAGGGTTTGGGATAGATGGTGCTCTAACTGGATGGGGATTCTCAGGGGTCATCATGACCGGTCTTAGTTGCGGGCTTCCGAAGAATTTTGTGGAGTCCTTGAATTAAGAATCCTACTAAAGTCCTCGACTTTCTCTGACTCAGCTGTTTTTTGGGACTGTCTAAGCATCGCGGTCGGAGTTGTGGTTCCGCGGTTTGCGGAGGGCGAGGACCTTTATGAGTTTCGTGTAATGCACCCCAACACCCTCATCGGATTGTGAACGCCCCTGAATTTAACTTCAGGCTTCCGTTTGGTTCCCATGATCGTCGTCCTGGTGGTCGTCGTCGCTGTGGCTGTTGTTGTGCCGTCGTCCTAGGCTTTGCGGTCCAATGCTGGCCTCCGGTGTAGTAGGCACATTTTATGCTCGCAAATACTCGCAACCTGGCTCATGCTCCCGTGCTGCATCCCTGGCGTTCGTTTTCACTGTAGATGATGTGGGCACTGGCTTGGGCCGTTCCGGTCTCCTGGAGCTATCTCGTCTTTCGAACCCAGTGCTTTACCCGGCGTGCTGCGACAAATGAGACGACCTTGCTCCAGGCATCGCCGGAAACATTGAAAGAGGCTGCGGAGATTCTCGGTTCTTGATAAAGAATTTAGTTTCAGTTGCCATCATAGGGATCTATAGTAAATACTATGGGCTACTCATTATGGCAATTTAAATTCAGTCCCTTAACAAGAGCCCAGGATTTTGGATCAGCAGCATGCCCGGAATGAGCCCGTCGTCTTCCGAAGCAGCCCCGGCCCCGGTCGCGCTGCGCTCGCCTGGGCTCCGACTTGGAGGATCATGGGACTTAGTAAGTAGGGTTATAAGTACCTATAATAGTTGGGGTTATAAGCAATTACAACAACTGGGGTTATAAGTAATTATAACTGTAGTTACTTTGCTAAAATCCCTACTGTCTAAGTCCCATGATCCTCCTTATAGATCCCTTTAAGAAACCCTAGTATAGAACCCTACAGTACCCTTAAAAGGAGCCCTAAACCCTACTTTCGACCCCCATGATCCTCTAAGGAGAGCTCCGGGCTCCGCGCGTTGTTGGAGCCCCGCCTGCCTCGAGGAAGAGCTTGGGGCTGTTCCTATCGAGGCCCCGAGGCCTCAACCCCAAACCCGAAGCCCATGAACCCTTTAGGGTTTAGGGTTTAGGGGAACCAATCCGGACTGTAAATCCCAAAACCCCAAACCTTAAACCAAAAAATCCTGGATCCCGAAACCCCTGAAGCCTTAAGCTGTCCCCATCGAGGGCGCGCCCGGGGCGACACTGGGCCGGTACCTGGCGGCTTTCTTTGCGGGGTCGGAAGCCGTTGAAGCCAACTGCTTCATGGGCTGTTCTTAAGGTTTTGGGGTTTAGGAGTCTGGGGGGTTCAGGGTTCAGGGGTTTAGGGGTTTAGGGTTTTAAGGGTTAAGGGTTTAAGGGTATAGACTTCTTTAAGTCACCAGAACATGGAACCCCCTTGTTTACTTTCAGCCCCCACTCTGGTAACTTAAAGTAACCCATACTGTATGGGTGGTTGTCAAAATTATGGTCCCTTTTTGGGTACCCTGAATATTAGGTGCCGTGTTGTATTAAGGATCCAAAAAGGGGCCATAATTTGACAACTACCCATATATCCCTATTGTGGTAACTTATTTGAAACTTCTCAAGTCTTAAAGTAACCCATGCTATATATCCCTATTGTGGTTTAGGGTTTAGGGTTCAGGGTTTAAGGCTCAGGGTTGTCAAAGTGAAACCCAGGTTTCGGGGGCCAGCAGCCTCCCTGCTCGATGCAAGGGGGAGCTCCTTTCTGCACGCGGCCATGTCCCTTGGGTGCTCTGTTCATTCAGGGTTTTTCGATTTGAGGGTTCTGGTTTTCAGGTTTTGAGGAATCGTTGTTTGAATGCGTTTTGTTTTAAAGTGCGATTCCTTCTAGGTCCTTTTGGTTTTTGTGCTAAAATCTTTTTTTGGTCCAAGGGGGGCTTAAGGTTAGGGACCCAAAAAGCACATAAGCATCAGGGCTTCACTATAACGGTGGTTTATATGGGCGGTTGTCGAAATTATGGCCCCTTTTTGGACCCTTACTACAATACGGCACCTAATATTTAGGGTACCTAAGAAGGGACCATAATTTGGACAACTACCCATATGGGATATCACTATCCTGGTTTTTGCTTATGTGCTTTTTTGGGGCCCTGCAAGGTCTTACCAATGCCACCGTCAACTTTGTCCTGGCCGCAGATTCCGATGAGCCTTTCGACGACCTCTTCGAGGCAACTCAGGTTGCCCTAGGGTTTCAGGTTTAGGGCTTAGGAGTTTCAGATTTAGGGATCAGGGGTTTAGGGTTTAGGGATTACGGGGTCGTGGGTTTATGGTTTTAGAGCCCAATTAGTTCGTCGTACGATGTACTGGGGCGCCTTAAAACATTTACAGCGCAGAACCCCCAACCCTTGGTTGAAGGCGGGCCACCAGCTGTGCCGGTAAGCAAGTTTCGTCATGATCGGCGGAAGTTGAGTTGAGTAGAGGGAACTGCCCCAGTCAAGTTCACGAGGAATGGGAGTTTCCGAAGCGAGGGACTCTAATATGGAAGCTTAGATACTGTTGTAGCATGAGAAAGGTTAAAGGAATCCCACAGGTGCTCACGCTGCACTTGCTTTCGAAACCCTTACAGGAACACGATTAGAGCTCAGGCTTTATAAGGACCTTGAAACCCTAAAACCCTAAAGCCAAAACCCTAAACCCCAAATCCTAAACCCTAAACCCTAAAGCCTAAACCCTTAAAGAGGCACTTGACCTTCTTCCCCTGCTCCGGCGCCGAGCACACCGGGGCTCCACCTTCAGCGCACGGCTCCTCACTTTTCTTGTGCCCTCCTCGCTGGGCTTCGCCCCTGGCTCGGAGCCTTCGCTGTAGAGAGTAGTAGAATTAGTAGTGGTAGTAGTAGTAGTAGTAGTAGTAGTAGTAGTAGTAGTAGTAGTAGTAGTAGTAGTAGTAGTCGTAGTCGTAGTAGTAGTAGTAGTAGTAGTAGTAGTAGTAGTAGTAGTAGCAGTAGTAGTAGTCGTAGTAGTAGTAGTAGTAGTAGTAGTAGTAGTAGTAGTAGTAGTAGTAGTAGTAGTTTGTAGTATTAGCTCCAACTGTGATAGACTTTCGGGTTGTTGAAGGTTGTAGGGTTAGGGTTTAAGGTTTAGGGTTTGGGGTTTAGGGTATTGTAGGGTTATGGGTTCATATCGCGTTTTCCAGAGACCCACGCGGTCTCGAATTCTCATCTCCTGTTTGCTCTCATTCTTTTTCCTTTCTTTCACAGAAAACATCAAGCCCGAGCCTTGGCCAAAGAGGAGCGGCTCTTCATCCCTTTGAGCGGGAATCTGCATGACACAGATCCCCATTTGATTCCTCGCGCTCACTGAGATGTATTCACCCTGCTACCAGAAACTTAGACCGTGCCTTGCTTGCGCTTCGAAGCTGCTCCGTAGGATTGGGTGGAAGGGGTGCTGTGGCTCAGCCCCCGCGGCGCGCGCACGGGGATACACCAGGACGATGAGCCCTGTTCCATTCTGCAGCAGGTGCGGGCTCTTGGCGTGTAAACTTAGCATTATGTCTTGAAAGACTCACATAAACCCTCAACCCTGAACCCTAAACCATAAACCACCGCGCCTCTTGGAGAAAGGGTGCACATCAACTTAAAAAAACCCTAAACCCTAAAACCCTGAACCCTAAGCACTAAAAAACACTTTAAACTCTAAACCCTAAACCCTGAACCCCAAACCCTAAACTTCGTCTATCTTCTGCGAAAAAAGGCCCCATTGCACTTAAAACAAAACTTCGTCTATCTTCGTCTCGTGTCTTGAAAGGGGTCAGGCCTTCTAGCTTCACCAAAGGCTCCCAGAGACTCCAAAATCCCTTAATTGGGGAATGTACCCATATTCGGGATCCTAGTGTATATACTTTAAGGTCTCTTCCTTCATTGAGGGATATTGGAGTCTCTAGGTTTCTGGGATCGGGGCCTCGAGTAGGAGACACCGGGATTACGAACCAGGGCTTCACGTGTCTACGGTAGTAACCCTTAGACCCAGAGAACCCAATACCCTTTAATCAAGGAATATACCTTAGATGGTAGGGGCCTTAATATTATGATTTAAGGTATATTCCTTAGTGAAGGGGTATCTCCAAGTATCCCCAAGCCTTGAAGGGAGAAACGTCGCAGGTGCACGGCCGCAAGAGGGTGGTCCTCTTCTCCCCGGCCCACTCGCAGCGGCTTTTGCCAGAGGCGGCTCCCCACTGCCTTTCGGAGCACGGCACGCGTTATGCGCGGCTCCCCCTGGAGGAGGTCCTGGAGGGCTTGGGGGGCCGTGGCCACCTCGTAACGCTCGAGCCGGGGGATGCCCTGTACATACCGAACGGCTGGTGGCACGCCGTGGAAGCGCTGGAGGATTCGGTCTCGGTGAGCGGTCGTGGTCTAACCTTCTGTGAAGGGGCTTCTTTTCTCCCATTCTGGTTGGCGCTCATCCTGCATCTTGGCAGCAATGCACACTTGTACGACCGCCCACAGGCATATGCAAGAGGGATATGTGTGTGCTGTGGCAATTCGGGGTCATGCTTGTGCAGTTTCCCTGCCTTAAGGCAGAGGGCGATGCAGGTGCCAGAGGAGTATGCAAGCTTGCTGCCGCATCTCCTGGCTCTGGTGCTTCCTGGACTCTTGGCTTCGCCACTGCTCCTGCTTGACTTCAAGAATAGGAAGGAAAAGTTAAAGCGTCGTTGAGGAATCGCCAGAATCTGGCTCCCAGAGTTGGACGGAGAGCCCCTCGCCTGTTGTCGGGGATCTACTGGACGAGGCATCACCACGAGCCTCCCGATGATCAAGATCCCTTCCCTGTGTATACTTGGACATCCGAAGACGGCTGGTGACGTCGACAAAGCCGAAGAGCAGATTTCTGCAGGATCACGCGTGCCAGGACTTCGATTCTCAAGGCTTCGGCGGCGAAGGATCCTCAAATACCGGATTGGAGCAAGTTGATGGGAGGCTTCACATAAACCCTTTCTTGAACCCTTACAAAACCTACTCGTCATTAACACCCTTATGGAACCCGCAGCGAACCCCTACAAAGCCATCATATGGAACTCTGACAGAAATATTAGCATTAGTATTCGTGTTTGTATTAGTCTTATTCTGATTGCAAGTTTCTTTATTGTTAGTCTTATTCCTCTTCTTGTCGTTCTTATTTTTTCGAACTCCGACTCCTGAGGTCGGATGCTTCCGTGACCATGCCGGCGCTGGCTTCTCAGGGGTGTAGCTCGAAGCTTGAAGAAATACGAAAAGTCAAAGTGACGGGCCCCGCATAGGGCACTACCGTCTCATCAGGAACAGGAATAGTACTAGCACTCTTTGATATTGTTTAGGGTTCGTGAAAAGAAACATACTACAAAATAACAGAAAACTGTTCTAATCCTGTTTGAAGCCCTAAACCCTAAACCCTATATTAGATAGAAGGACCCTGCAAAAAGGACCACAGAGAAAGACCGAAACGGTTGGAGGGTTCGGACTTCTTATCTTCAGACGGGGGTGGGGCCTGAGTACTTAGTCTTCGGATCCCCTTAAAGCCCCTATATCGCTGTTGTCTTACTGTAGCCCAGAAAACCCAATCCTAATTTTGAAAGCCCCCGCAGCCCTCAACCTCTAAACTGAACCTTACCCTAAGCCCTAAACCCTAAACCTTATAGTCCCTAAACCCCTATGTTGAAGCCTGGGGAGCCCAGCAACCCCTATCCAAGGCCTCTGGTTTCGGGATTCTGGTGGTTTAGGGTTTAGGGTTTAGGGTTTTAGGGTTTAAGGTTTAGGGTTTAGGGTTTCAGGGGTTTAGGGTTTTAGGGTTTGGGGTTTCAGAAGTTAGTGATTGAACTTTGCTTTCCCCAACTCTGGGCCGATAGTTGAAGCCCAAACCCCCTGAACCCTCAACCCTAGTTGGGCGGTTCTCTAAATTTTGGTATTTTCTTCGGTTACCCAAAAAAGGACCCTCAAACAAACCCTAATTTAGAGAACTACCCAAATCACCTAGCGAAACCTTCAACGCCAGAAAAGGTCGCCAAACTGAGCCGAGACCAGGAACTCAGAACGCTGCAGTCCGAAGCAGACTTCAAGCAGCAAGCTGAATGGAACAGAAAGGCAACACTCACACAGACCAAAAGCAGCAGGATTTCTTTTCCCAAAGGGTTAACTGAAAAGAAGGGACCCTAATTTACACCCAAATTTTGTCAGGAGGTCGTAAGGACTCGTGACTGGGGCATCCCTCAGCCGTGAATCTGCGGAGCTGCGGAGGTGGGCCACCAGCGCACCAACGCAAGCCGCGGTGCAGTCAGGTGGGGGTTTCCGAAAATTAGGGCCGCCTTTAAAGGAATCCATAAGGGCTCCTTAAAGGGATCTATAAGGGTTCTATTAAGGGTTTAGGGTTTGGAGTTTCCGAAAATTGGGGGTACCTTCTTTTGGGATCCTTCTACTAAGGATCCTACTCTTTAGGGTCCCCTATGTTCGGAAATCCCCAGGTCCAGACATTGCACAGTCGTTTGGGGAGGGAAAGGTTCAGAGTTACAGCTTGCCAGGATGCCATCAAGCACGAAGCACCCGCTGCCCTAGAAATCTAATTGAGCAGGTTTGAGCTTGGCTCTGCCACGCTTCGCAAGCTGTGTCCTCTGCTGTGTATGTGTTTAGACATTATGTGTATATATCTAATGGTTTAGAACTATATAAATATAGACTTAGATACAGTATAAGTCTATATTACAAAGTATGTTGCATGACAGTCATTGCATGCTATAGCGTTGTGCCGTCTTTTTGTCGACTGTCTCGCGACTTTCGTTCGCTTTCCGCCTGGCCATGCTGTATGTACACCCAAACTACAGCCCGAAAGGGTTGTGTGTGTTTTCTGGAATCTTTGATTGCACATCTGTGCGCAGCCGGCATGAAGCGGCTGTGGTTTGGAGCATCCTTGACCGTGGGAGCCTCCGAAACAAACGGACGCCATTATCGACCCCGAGTTGCGGGACTCTTAGGATCCTAAACCCTAAGCCCGAAGCCCCCGAAATTCGGCACCCATAGCTTTAAGAACCCCCCCCCCGGGCAGCCCGATTGCTTGGAGGAGCTGTGAGGCAAGTTCAGCAAGCCAGCTCTTCGCCGGGAGCCTGAGTCAGTGTAGGCTTAGGGTGTAGGGTTTAGGGGTTTATGGGGTTTAGGGTTGTTTGGGGTTTAGGGGTATTTAGGGTTTAGGGGCTTATGGGGTTTAGGGTTTAGGGGTTTGGGGTTTAGGGGTTTAGGGTTTAGGGTATTTTGGACTGCGGTTTATCGATTACGGTAGCTGGTGAGGGTAAGTGCAGATCGGAAGTGCAGATGAAATTGCCACCCGAGACATTAGGGAGTATTGAAATCTCTTCAGAAGGAGTTCAGGACCATACAGTTACCCTGCTATAACGATGCCCACCAGCACTCACGAACCCTTCCTCCTCCTCCTCCTCCTCCTCCTCCTCCTCCTCCTCATCTCATCGCTGTCGTAAGGCCCTAAAAGTCTACTTTGCCAGACTATGCTATCTTTTTCCATTAAACCCTTAACCCCAAACCTTGGCTGCGCCGCTGCGGGTGGCGCATGGCGGATTCAAAAAACCCCAAGCCCTCAACCCTAAACCCCTAAATCCCTACTAAACCCCTACTAAACCCCTAAACCCCTAACCCTCAGCCCGAAGCCCTAAACCCTAAACGCTAAACCCTAACCCCAAAACCCAAAACCCTAAACCCTTAAACCCTAAACCCGAAACCCTAAACCCTAAACCCTGCGATCCTTTTCCACTCCCTGCCATGGCCTAGGGCTTCTGGCCTCGGTTCCCGCGTCCCCGTGCGAGCCTCCGGGAGCCCAACAGTTTTTTTCTTTTTTTTGTGAGGGGGGGGGGGTTAGGGTTTAGGGTCTACCTTAACCCTGAATAACCTACCTTTGTAGGGTTCCCCATTATGATTTCTTTATATAAGTCCTTAAAAATATAGGTTCTTCCGGGTTTAGGCCGCTGCTTTCTTGAGTTTCGGGTTTAGGCTTTTTTTGGGGTCGCCTGAAAGCAGTTTGAGGCTTAGACATTGAGGCGGGGTTTGGGGGCTTCGACATTGGGGGGGTTCTTTCAGGGTTCTATACGGGAATCTACGGCTTTCAGTGTTTAGGGGATTGGCTATTGTACTTAGTTTAGGGCCTTTTTGTTCGGAATGCTTGTTTGGTGTTCCATTTTCTCTCTGCGATGTGTGCAGGCCGATGTACTTTTCCTTGTTCATGCATCTGAGCTTACTTTCTACACATGTTGATGCAGAGCATCTCCGCCGTAGCCCGGAACACTGAAGCCTAGCTGCTCGACCCTCTCAAGTGTGATTCCATGGCCTACAAGCAAGCTCGCGCGAAAACTCTAGTCTAAACCCTAAGCCCTGCTGCACATCCGCAATCCACAAGTGCCGTTCCAGTGGCATGGTCCCAAGGTTGTCCAGGAATCTCTGAAGCAAAGCTCTTCTTTGCACCCTAAACCCTCAACCCCGCATCCCCAATTGAACCCAAAGCCCTAAACACACCAAACCTGGCCCTATAGCCCCAAAATAGTAGGGCTCATATGAAGAACCCTAATAAAGGCCCAAGGTTTCTCAACCAGGTTCCTACATGGTTATAGTATATGGATCCCTTACAGTAACCCTTATAGACCCCTGTAAAGCACACCAAACCTACAGCGTTTCCTGGGTCACAGGAGCTCCTCCAGCACCATCCTACGTCGGCGAGGCTCTAGCCAGGATGCAGGCTCCAACCTATTGCAGGAACCCATACGGTTGATGATATAAATCCTGCACTACCTTAAGGACCCTAAACTTTGGGAATTATGGTCTATTCCTTACTATGGGTAATGCAGGATTTATACTATCAACCTCAATTTGTGTGTGTGTGTGTGTTTTTTCCCCAAGGTCGGGCCTTTGGGGCCTGAGCTGAAGAGTTCAGAGTCCGGTAATAGAGGAACCTGACTAAGAAACCTTGGGTCTTCATTAGGGTTCTGTATTTTGGGTTTAGGGTTTTGGGTTTAGGGTTGTCGGGCCAGGGGTTCTTAGTAAGATTCCTACACTAAGCAGCCGGATGAAAACTTGAGGAATATGCTGAAGTACGAGATTCAGGAGCTTTCAGGGCAGTGTCCGGTGTTCTGGGCTTCTCTGCCGTTGCCCGAAGCTCAGGGGGAACTTAGAAATAGTTTTTAAATTTTTGGCTACTATAATCCCTAAGAGACAGCTAAACTTATCATTTTTGCTAGGGTTCTAAGTTCATTATAGTTATATAGTAAAGGTTACCATCATAGGGATCTATAGTAAAATTCGGGTTTCCCTAGGGTTCTAAGTTCATTATAGGAAGGTTCAGCTTTCAGGGGTTGGGACCCGTTGCTGAGGCGCTGTGTCCATGCTGGCTTTTCAAGACCGGGAAGGTAGGGTTTTAGGGTTTAGGGTTTAGGGTTTTAGGGTTTGGGGTTTAGGGTTTTAGGGTTTTGGGTTTAGGGTTTTAGGGTTTTGGGTTTAGGGTTTTAGGGTTTTGGGTTTAGGGTTTAAGGTTTAGGGTTACTTCGAAATCACGGTGTGGTCGTACAGAGGCTTGGTAAAGTCCAAACTCTCCGAACCCTATTCAATTGATTCTCGCGTGTTCGAGCTTTGGTGTAGAATGGTGTCGCCCTTAGAGAAAGCCTGCAGCCGAAGCCAGTGTGTAAAATCGCCATAGAACCAACACGAAGCTCCTCCCCGAGTCCAAACCCCGCCCGAGCCACAACAAGCTGCCCCGCCGCTCGTGCCAGCTTTTCCGTCCTCCGCCCCCGCCAGCGCGCAGGACCGGTTTAGGGATTGGATTTTGGCTTCAGGGTTTTCAGCCTGCCAGGCAGTCGGTGCCAGCTTGCACCAGGTTGGTTTGCGGCTTTTCAGGGGGTTTCGAGATCGGTTTGATCAACGTCTGTTCTCCGTAGAGGCTCAGGAGATCAGTTCTTTGTCGTAGTTGGGTAACATTTTGCATCTTAATGGGCATTTAAACGCAATCATGAATACAAATTTGGATTTTGTGAAATGAAGAAGTAAGCTCATGCACCAGACTTGTCTTCTGTGAAGATGCCAGCAGCGTTTACATGTTAATGTCACGACCGACGGTGTGGGCTTAAGGTCCCCCTTAGTTACGGCTGTGAGCTCGTTCCGGAATGGAAAAGATCGCGAGTGCTGCTGTGGCCTCCTGAGAGTCTCGATCTCTCAGGTGGTAGCGGAGCTCTGGAGGTTGTCTGCTAAGGGCGGACACCGGAGGAGCGCAGGACTCTGCTGTCTGGACCAGGCAGGTGATGAGTGGGAGTCGAGACGAAGAGCGGCCACGCTTGGAGCGGTTCGATGGGTCGGACCCAGCAAGCTATCGCAAATGGCGACGACGAGCGGAGCTTATGCTCCTGGCCTTGCCTTCTACGGTGAGCAAGGACCGATGGGGCCCGAAGCTGTGTGAGTATTTGACTGGCGAAGCCGAGGAAGCATGCGAAGGAATCACTGTGGCCAAGCTGACAGGCGACGATGGCTACAAGCTGATCTTCGAGGTACTGGATTCCCGGTACGGCGACCTCGAGCAGGACGTCATGCAGAAATACCTGAGCGAGTTCTTCTTCAAGACGCAGATCAAGGCTGGCGAGAGCTACAGGAACTTGACAATTCGAGCAGACACTGCCTATCGGAATCTGCAAGAGGTGGGTGTTAAGCTTCCGGATGAGGTCAGGGGCTGGTTCCTTCTTCGGAAACTGGCTTTGGACAGAAGCTCGGAGGCGATGATACTTACTGCCACTCAGGGGAGCCTCAAGTACGATGTCATCAACAAGGCGATCAAGTCAGTGTTTCCTCAAGGCAAGTGCACCACGACAGCAACGAGGATGAAGGACGTGTACTCTGCGGAGATCAACGACGACGAGGGCGCCAATGCTGATGGTGGAGAAGATGACGAGAATGAGGTGTTCCAGGTTGTGGCGGACAGCTTCCAGAACCAAGAGCAGTACGATGACGAAGAGGTGCTGGACGTTCTGGAGACCTATCAGGATATCCGCCGAAAGTTGCAGCAGAAGAAGATGGGGCGTGGATACAAGCAGCCGTCATCGTCCTGGAGTTTGACGGGAACAGTAAAGGGCCGGCTTGAGCAACTCAAGTCAAAGACGAAGTGCCACATCTGCAAGCAGGTTGGACATTGGAAGAAAGAATGTCCACAGCGTCGCACCGGCGCTGCTACGAGTACAAAGCCACGGGCAAGCGAAGCCAAGGAGGCCATGATCACCGACATGGGGTTCGCCACCGAGGATGGGCCAGAGTGGTTCATTCCGCCAGAGGAGGTTGAGAACTTAGAGGTTTTCCTGGTTGAGGGCGAGCATGGCAACGTGGATATCGTAGTGGCAGGTCAAGGTGAGACAGATTGCGCACATGTGGATGCCGTACTGGGGGGCCTTGAAACAGGGCTCGTTTCTCCCGGAGTTTTTGATTTCGCACAGGAGGCCGCGCGTTCGAGTGAGGCATACATGGCTGTGTGTGATGAGCAGGCTGAGTTTGCACCACTCACAACCCATGCAGTGCCTGATACCGCATGTCGTAGGACCTTAGTCGGCAGCAGGGTGTTGCAGGGTATGGCCGAGCAGCTTAGGCGTAGAGGATTGCGTGTCAGGTACATGCGTGAGAGACATGAATTTAAGTTTGGGAACGCGGGCAAGCTGCAGACGACATGTAGCGCAATCATTCCTGTGTGCATCGGGGGCAAGTTGATAGCACTGAAAGCAGCAGTGCTCCCGGATGCAGGGGCTGATACACCACTTCTTCTTTCGAAAGAGTGCCTTAGGGGTTTGAAGGCCAGGTTAGATATGGAAGAGGACGTGATGTATGTGGGTAAGCTTGGGGTTAGTGTTAGTCTGAAAGAGACTGAGAGGGGCCACTATGCTATTCCGATTCTAGGGAAACCGAGTCGGGCAGAGCAAAGTGGTGTGAGCAAGGCGGCCGAGACAGCGGTTGATGAGGTGCATGTAACCGTCAGTGCAGCCACGCCGGGTACAAGCATCGTTGAGTGTTGTGCGATCCCTACCAAAGCCACTCCAGGCGATGACGGAGCCAATCATGGACGAGGAGATGGAGATGATGGCCGACGCCAACGGGGTGCCATGGAGGTCCGATCTAACAGTGACCCCGCTGATGGAAGAGTTGATGGCAGCTCTCAAGCCGGAGCTGACAAGTCCAGACAAGGAGGTCTCGACCATTCCAGTGAAACTTCTGGACAGTCGCGAAGATCACGAAGACGACGAGCCAAGCGTGCCAATCAGCGGAACCGAGATCTTGAGCATCGGCAAGTATGCGAAGGCCGGGCAGATGAAAACGTTCTCGGAGATCTACACGGAGGACAAAAACTATGTGCAGTGGATCCGCAAGTTTGTGACGACAAGCAAGCCGAACGCGAAGGGCCAAAGCTCATCGTCACCCATGATGCGACTTCGGCTGTACATTGCGTGCCGCGACCAGATCAAGGAGAACCGGATCAAGACCGACGTGCAGATCAACAAGGAGACAGCGGTCGACTTCAACCCGCCCTACATCGACCCAGTGAAGATGTCGAGCAGCTCGGCGGCCAAGCCAAAGGCCAAAGCGGGCTACCAAGGCACGATGAAGCGAGCCACCGCTTCCAACGATGGCTCAGAGAACTGGGAGAAAGTGGAGGCGCCGGCAAAGGTCGACAATCGCACGATCAAGGCCATGAAGCAGAAACTCCTGAACCAAATGATGGCCCTTCAGGCTCAGATGGCAAGCCTGGAGGAGATCGAGACCGAGGAGGGCTAGAAGAGCATCACGATGGATGTTCTATGAGCCGGCAGGGACCGGACACTTGTGAGTGCGTTATGTCTAGAAGCGAGAAGCAGTTGTGTCGTTCTGGGTTGAAGGTGATAGGTGATGTTCCGGGTAAGAGCTTAGGTCAGGTTAGCGGTGATGCGGGTTCGAGGTTGGATGTTCTCGAGCTGTTTGAAGGAACGGCGGAGCGACACGCAAAAGCTGTGGGTCTCACTGCAGGGCATGTGCTGAAGTTTTCCAAGAAATTTGAGCGTCATCAGCGGTACTTCGGTGATCAAATGGCAGCACATGTGATTCGACAGCTTGAGAGTCTGAAGCCCCGAATGCTTGTTATGAGCATGCCGCCTGAACTTCGTGACATGTTTGCCGGTAGGTGCGCGAGGGATAACTGCTATTGCAATAGCTACAACAAGTTCATGCTGGCAGTGAGTGCGTGTCAGGAATGCGAAGGCAGGCTGTTTGCTGTGGAAGTAGGACCCGACCTGACCCCGTATGAGAAGCTCCTTCGAAAGCCAGGCATGTTCATGGTACAGTTGCAAGGGTTGGGGACATGCCTTGTTACAAACTGCCGTGAGCTGAGAGAGAGAGAGAAGAAGAGAGGAGAGACGAGTGATGAGAGTGAAGATGAAATTCGGAGTGTTGCCAACTCAATCGTGGCGAGCGTGCTTGATTGGAAGCGTGCCAAAGACTTGGTTGTGTCGACGACGTGTGTGCATGCAGTTGAAGATTTGAGGCAGGGTGAAGGAATGACCGACCAAAAGATTATGGTGCTTCTGAGGAAGTGCCATGAGAATCTTGGTCATCCTTCTCCGGCTCGGTTGAACCTGTTGCTGAAGGCGGCGCATGCGAGTGAGCGTGTACTGAGGTTGGCGCGTGGCTTGACTTGTGAAACGTGCAATTCCTTGTCAAAACCTCGGAGTCATCATGTGACCAAAGTTCGTCGAGCTACGGAGTTCAATCAACAGGTGTGTCTCGACACCTTTGAGACAGAGGTCAGAGGAAGCAAGCTGCACTTCTTGAATATCTGTGATGAGGGCACCAGCTATCAGATTTGTGTTCCGTTGTGGAAGGGCAAGCAAGCGAGGCAAGTGAGAAATGCCTATCGAAAGGCATGGAAGCGTTGGGCAGGTGCTCCTGTAAGAGCCTTCACGGACGGAGGACCCGAGTTTGAAGCAGAGTTCGAGCATGGTTTGGAGTTGGATGGAACATTCGGTGACAAGGCAGCGGCATATGCGCCGTGGCAGAACGGATTGACTGAGCGGAAAGGCGGCGTTTGGAAGGTGGCCTTTCAAAAGGCCTTGCTGGACTCAGGGCCTCGAACAAAGCAAGAGGTGCAGGAGATCGTGGACAACGTGAACATCGCGGTGAACACGATGACGAGGAAGGACGGATATTCACCATGTCAACATGTGTTTGGACGGGAATTGAGGGTTCCGGGTATGATTTCGACGGAGTATGATCCTGTTATCAACTCGGGGATAGTTCAGGGTGAGTCGGTTTTCGAGCGGAGGATGGCTTTTAGGAATGCGGCTAGGAAGGCTTTCTTGGAGGCGGACAGTGACAGTCGCTTGAGAAAGGCCATGGAACATAGAAGTAGACCTGAGCGGGGTCCGTTTCTCCCAGGGTCTATGGTGTACTTCTGGAGAAAGCATCGGTTCGAGAATCGTCATCATTGGCATGGACCTGCGGTTGTGATAGGGGGTCAAAACTCTAAGATCTGGATTGCTCAGGGAACCAAGGTGTACAGGTGTTGTCCGGAACAACTCCGAAAGTTAACCGTGGAACAGGAGGCAACTATCAAACTGCTGCCTGCCGACATGTGTCATGTGAGACAGGAGGTGAGCGCGAGAGGGGCAGGAACGTATCATGATATCAGCAGTCAAGAAAGACCTCCCAATGAAGATGATGATCATGGTGATGGTGAGCCTCGTGAGATGTCCCAGCCACCGGCAGGCGATGCACCACCAGGAGTTAGCATGGACTTTGAAGATGAAAACATACAGGATGACGATGGAGTTGCTGAAACTGGTGATGGTAACGCGGTTGCTCCAAATGACAGTGCAGGGTCATCAGCTGCTGCCGCAGAGGCGAACCCAGGAGGACCATCAGGAAGTATGCAGAGCAGAGGTGATGAGTCACCGGCCAAGAGACAAAGGGTTCAATTCAGCGCGCTGACAGAAGCTTTGAGGCATGATCCTGATGTGTTGGACGGTGCTAGGGCGAGAGTTGCGTTGCCGGTTGCTCCAAACAATGGTGCGGAAAGTATTCCCGTGCCGAATGACTCTGATGAGGAGTTGGAGGTAACAGTTGAGGCAAACCAGTGCTTGGTTGTTGAAAGGACAAAAGGAAGGAAGGAGGTTGCCATGAGCAGTGTTGCTGAAGCTCGCAAGCCTGGACTTGACAAAGCCAAAAGCAAGGAGTGGAAAAAGCTTCTTGATAGCAAGGCCATCATTATTCACCGTGGCGATAAGGCACGTGTGATAAGGGAGGCCTTTGGAAAGGTGGATCCAAGGACAGGCAAGCGTGACAAGTTCATGAAGTCACGATTCGTGGTGACCGAGGCTGACGAGGGGCAAAGTCCTGAGACACAAGGGCTGAAGGCCAGGTGGTGTATCAGGGGCTACTTGGATCCTGATTTGTTGAATCTGGACACGAATGCTCCCACGTTGTCAGCTGAGGGATTTGCCACGGCAGTGCAGTTGATTGCCAGTCATCGTTGGAAGTTGAACATCGCTGACGTTGAGGGTGCCTTCTTGCGTGGTGATAAGCTTGACAAGGAGAGAGGTCGGTTGTTCATTGAGATGCCGCCCGGAGGAGTGCCAGGTTACGATGAGGGCGACGATTATATCATCGAGGCTGTGAAGACAGTCTACGGACTGGCCGATGCTCCTAAGGCTTGGTGGAAGAGTTTCAGCGCCGCGTTGATACGCCTTGGCTTGCGTCCGTCTAAGTTCGACCCCTGTGTTTTCTGGTACCACCATAAAGGTCGCCTAGCAGGAGTGATCGCTCTCCATGTGGATGATATGGTGCTAGGAGGAAACCAGGAGTTTCAGGAAAAGATTGTGTGTGAACTGAAAAAGCTGTATCCCTTTAAGCACTGGAAGGAAGGGTCAGGAGAGTTCCTAGGGAAAACGTTGACGCAACTTGAGAGCGGAGAGATCACCGTGTGCCAAATGGAGTATGCTAGACAGCTGCAGGGCATAAGCATTGACACGTCAAGAAGAAAGCAGAGGAGTGAGACTGTGACAGAAGCTGAACAACAGCAGATGCGCACGGTCCTCGGAGCTGTGAACTGGCTGGTAGGAGGGTCACGACCGGATTTAGCAGCATGGTGTTCTCTGCTGCAGCAGAGAATCAGCAAGGCCATTGTGCAAGATCTGATTGACATCAACAAGCTGGTGAGTCTGGCGCGGGAAAACGCGAGCATGATGATTCGAGTGCTGCCTATCCCGGCTCATGATGTTCAGTTTGTGGTGATGTCGGATGCTTCGTGGGCCAATGCTGAGAATCGCTGCAGTCAAGCAGGCTACATGGTGGCGGCTGGAGATAGAATGCTGCAACAAGGACACTGGGGTCAGTTTTCGTTGATGCGATGGAAAAGCTACAAGCAGGACAGACAGACGCACTCAACCTTGGGGGCAGAGCTGTTGTCACTGTCACGGGCCATTGCTGAAGCGAGGTGGATGAGATCCATGTGGTGCGAGGCGATCTTCACGGACTACCAGCTACAAGAGGATCGTGAATGGTCAAACCGAATCTCCATCACGGCGGTTGTGGATTGCAAGCCAGTGTTCGATCATGCGAATGCATGCACGGTCAGCCTCAAGGACAAGAGGATGGCGATTGAGATGCTCCTGGTTAAGGCCGACATCCAGAAGCACAACATTCGTTTAAGATGGGTGGCTACGAAGCAGATGATAGTGGATGTCTTAACCAAGCTAGGGGCCCCGATGAGTCTCCTTCTTCGTGTTATCAAAGAGGCCAGGTTCGTTTTGACTGAAGACGAAGTGGTGCATCAGTGGTCCGAGCGAAAGCTCAAGTACAGAGGTGTTGGCAAGAAGTCTGGTGCATGTTCCCTTTTGGGGGTGTGTGAAATGAAGAAGTAAGCTCATGCACCAGACTTGTCTTCTGTGAAGATGCCAGCAGCGTTTACATGTTAATGTCACGACCGACGGTGTGGGCTTAAGGTCCCCCTTAGTTACGGCTGTGAGCTCGTTCCGGAATGGAAAAGATCGCGAGTGCTGCTGTGGCCGCCTGAGAGTCTCGATCTCTCAGGTTTTAAATCCTATCCCAACCATGAACTAGAGTTCGTGGTCCGTTTGTGTCCAACTGCAGCAGTTCATGCTCTCCGTTTTGGCCTGCTCTGATTCGGAATCCCGCTAAAGGAACCCTACAAGCAAACTACGAACTGCAGACTTAAAACTTCAGACGAACCTCTTAACAGACCTTCAAGCAAGGCTTCAGCCTCGATTGCGCCCACAACCTCAATTCCAAAGCTAAGCCTTAATTTCCTAGCCTGAGGCCCTAAACCCTAAACCTAAGCCTTAAACCCTAAACCCCAAACCCTAAAGCGCAAAGCCTTAAAGTGCTCAAGGACCTCCATGGCATTCAGCCTGCCGGATCCACCTCCTCTTTGCCGGATGCCGGACGCCTCGGTGGAGTAAGCGCAGTTCTTTGGTTTCGGGTCTTGGGTTTTCCTTGTCCTTTCTGGGGCGTTTGTAGGGATTTTCAGGGCTGTTCTAGTATGTTTGTCTTGTTGTAAATGTGTTGTAGGGCTTCATGGAGTCTTGTACCAGGCTCCGATTCTTCAGGGTCTCCGCTAGGGATTTGGAGAGTTCCGGGTTCCTCGAGCCTTGAACCCCAACCCCGACAATGCAAACCCCAAGCCTAGGGTTTTGGGTTTATAAAGGGTTAAACACAAAAAACCCCGAAGCCGAAAACCTGAACAGCCCAAACCCCCAGCCTAGGGCAGCAAAGCAACTCGCGGACCG